TTTCACATCATAGTGTTGGGGAACATGGTGCTCATGGCAAAAACTTTAAAGTTTAATTATAATATATAATTTTTATGCAGAAGAGGCAAATGTCAGGACTTTTTTATTTTGAGTTAAGTTCTGGTCATTTTTTAAAGTATAGCAGCTGCCTGGGTTATAAAGGAGCCATACATTGTGTGGAAGGGCAAAGGGGTTAAGTGTAATTCAAAGTAAAAAAATTATTTAAAACTAGAAAGTGCCATGAGTATCAGAACATAGTTAATAATGGAAAATAATGAAACCTAAGTAAGAGAAACAGTAAACCAGAAGTAGAAATGCTGTTATACTCAGAATGTGAAAATAATTGGAAATGCACAAAATCCTCCTGACCACCTCTGCAACTACTCCAAATGAGCTGCTCTGTGTGTGTATATTTCTAAATGTTCATACATGTATGAGTGCTCTGTGTATGTGTGGACTAATAGTTTTGTTTATACTCTTCGTTTTGATAGGCTGCACTGGCAGAGAGTAGTTTACCATTGCTTAGTAACCCAGGATTGATAAACAATGCATCCAGTGGCTTACTGCAGGCAGTCCATGAAGATCTCAATGGTTCGCTGGATCACATTGACAGTAATGGAAATAGCAGTCCAGGCTGCTCTCCTCAGCCTCACATGTAAGTGCAGTTAGCTTCCTTTCAAGAAAAAATGCCTTAGTCTAAGACACAGTATTACTCAAAAGTGCTTTGAAACATGGTAAGCGAAACATCTGGAGCTATATATTTGAAACTAAACATTTATATTAAAACATTTAAATAGATGAGTCTTCATTTACTTTGTAGTAAGATTTTTTTCTCTTTTTTTTTTTATTTTAAACCTCATCTGCTTGCATGCAAGCATTGAATGTAATGGGAGGCTGATCTGTTTGGTCATTTTCAGTCTGGTTTGTAAGGTATAGTGAGAATATTCACATTGGAATTAGTTGTAATTTTAACTATGAGTCTCTAAACCATTTATGAACTGTAGGAGAGATATTGCCCATTTATATAAACCGTAAAAGGCAAAGTTTAACTGTTGCCCACAGTTTACATAGAAGCCAGTAAAGTGTAACTTTTTGCCTGTCGTATAAATCAGTGTAATTACATATTCAAGTTTAATTACTGGTGCGTCTGTATTGGCAAGGTTTATATGTTATATTTTATGCAAGACTACGATTCCTATTAATATTTAGCAGCTAACTATATCATTAATTACTCTAAAATCTTTCCCCTACCATCTTTTTAATGGAGCTGAGAGAGTGGAAGTATTAAAAATTGATGTATTGTGGATTTCAGAAATGTGTCTGAAGCTTTAGAAATGCCTGGCCTTAATCAGTGGTGTCAAACATGGCAGTTTCTTGTTTACTAAATAGTAAAACATGTATCTTGGAGGTATTGTTTCCCAGGTTATTTATATAATAATTAGCAGTGTGATATCTAAGCAGACTTAGTTTTAACTTTACTTTAGGATGATTTTTAATGTGTATCTACAATTATGGTATCTTTTTTATGTTTAAAATAGCTGATCTCATTTGCCTTTTTTCATTCCATTTTCTCTTTCACATTTTAAATGTTCATTTTAATTTCTAGAGAGGGATATTTAACAGTAACAGTAATTGAGACCAGACTCCTTTTTACTTATGCTCTGGTGTGTGAAGAGTCCATTTTGATATGACCTTTTTGGGGGGAAAATATTTTACCTATTTTTTCCTTTTTTGTTTGTCATGTTATTATATCTGTGATCTCAAAGAAATGTTTATTGCCATGCATTTAATCGTTTTATTACACATTTATTCTACTTGCCTTTGTAAATAATACACTGCGAACATTCATGTATTTTATCAGGTTCCAAACCATTACTTTTTCAAAATGGAAAAATTTGTCTTTTGGAAGTGTCTTTAGATGTATTAAATAATACAAAAGAAGTAATAAAACTTGAAGTAGAAAGAACATGAATATATGCTCTTGAGAGCAACACTACTCTAAAACAAGTAAAGTGAGCAATCAGACAAAAGTTTTTATATCCCATGCTTTATGCTATCAACCATGCAGTGGGTAGCTTGAGGCCTTTTACTTTTAGCAGTTCTCCTGAGTATGCTAATGCTCTCTTCCTGTATAAAATGCCAAGACAATAAAACTTTAAAGAGCAAACAAGAGTTAGATCATGTGTGTTAAAAACAGCTACTTTACAGAAAAGAATGACACTTGCTATTAAAGTTGTTTTGTAAGTGTTTGGCAGATCTGTTTACATATCCTATGTACTGTCTGCCATTCTGCTGGATAAACTGAGAAATCTGTGCATATGATTATGTAGATATGGCTACATTTATAGCTGTGTTTATCACTTAAATATTATAGCAATTCTTGCCTATAAAAAAAGGCAAAATAACTTGAGCTACTCCCTAACTCAACACACAGCTTTCTTCTCTCATTTTTATATGTTGTTTGTCAAAACAGGTAGTTTTGGGACTTGCTGTTGTGACTCTTTTGAAACTTGTGACAACATATTGCTCAGTTCTTGACAGACTGAAGCAACAGAATGTAAATGCCCTGAGATACCACTGGAGAAAGAGCCTATGCTCACTCATCCCTTGTACCAAACGTAGTGCAAGAATACTGAGCTTCTGTGAGACCACAAGCTGTCAGGCAAAAGATACAAGCTATGACTAGATACCTGCTCATTTGTGACATTTTTTCCTTTTCCTTGCTGAGGGAAAAAGGGAATGAATGCAATCTGCAAGGAAAAAATCAGTGGAGGGAGAGGCTTGTGTGGGAGGCAGAGGGCCAAGGAAGAAGAGTAGCCTGTTCCTTGCCTCCACGACCACATTGGCCAGGGACCCTCATTTTTGTTAAAAAGCATTACTAAAGAAAATGAGAAAATAATATAGGGAAAGCACAATAGAAGTAAAATAAGTGAGGAATATGGCAAACAGTGAAGACACAATTTAAGTTTTGCATTACCTACACAGATTACATAATTCCACCTTTTTTAATGAAAAAGAGTTAATAAACTAGTAAAAAAAATTTATTTTATTGCCACAAGCACCAACTTGCTTCTAGTCTCCTGAGAAGGTTCACCCAAGGAGTCTGGGCATTTCTCCCCTAGAGAAATCTTCTTGGGGTGTGGTAATTACTGCACTCACCTATAAATCTGTGGGCTCTATTAGTCTCCAAGTAGATTAAGTCTCCATCACTTGATTCCCAGAAAAGTGTACTAGCCATGACACTAGGTATACACTGAGAAATTACATCGTGGGCCATCTTGTAGCTGGCACACAGCCAGCAACAATGGAGCATGGTATTAGGGGAAGAGGCAAGAGGTTGTATGTAATATAGAGATCAAAGCATTCAGTTGGGAATGTGCAGAATTTGGATTCTAGACAAGCTTCCAGGGAGAGACATTTGTTTGGTATTAGAGCACCAGCAGGAAATGTGAAAAGAGTCCCAGTGACAGTGTCAAAGAAAAGCACTTCAGTTAGGCATTTGGTTGTTAACATTGTACTGAATATCATTCTGTCAGATAAATATATGATAGGAAAACTTTCTTACTTTGGGATGTTCATACTAATTTTCTTTCAAGCATAAATGCATCTTTTTATATATGAACATAATGAATACTGTGTGTGTACATGGAAATCAGTGTTTCTGTGCTTCGAGCATAGGAGCATTATCAGACACATTGATTTCTGTAATGGTAGCACCTTAGGTACTAAGTATCATAAAGTAGGGAAATTAGTCCAGACTTTGGATATGAACCTAGTACTTCACATCTGGTTTTTGAAACAGGGTAGTAAGAGCAGTTTCAGAGCCATCAATTTACCCATCTGTGAATGGGTACCTTAACATAGGTGGGTGAATGAGCTTACTTAGATAATAGTCTCTGTTCACTGACTAGAGAAAGACAGTAGGTCTATAACTTCAAGTAACTGTATCACATTTAAATGCTTGTTAAGTGCAGCGAGTCTCAGACAGTGTATTTAGGGCACTTTAAAAGCTTTAAAATTTTGGCCTCGGGTAATGAAATATAATCTGCTCCATTTCTTATGCTTTTTGAACACTTAAAAATACTGCAGTAAGTTGTAGGTGATCAGTATAACCATGGCCTGGTAGTTGGGGTAACTCTTGTATTAATAATTACATAAAGCATCTGAAATTTTAAGCTGTGTTTCCCATTTTCCTTTCTCTGTCTGATGAGAGATGGTAATTCCATGATCCAGTATGCAGCATATCACTAGTGGGATCTTAAATCCTGGGTTTACTTTCTATGTTTCAGCAGTATTAGGTCCAAGTTTTGTCTCTGACTGGCCTTCAAATCCAGTTCCTGGTATGTAGGCATAAAGTACTTTCTTGACGTAAATCTTCACCAGGAAAATAGGTTACATATTGTGTGCATATATGTTCTGTTCAAAATCTTGATTTCTTCTAGGATCAGTTGTCAATAATCAGTGTCAGACAATTATTTTTTAATTTAAATCAATGCTTAAAACTGTTTCTTCCTTCATTTTTTTCAACAAGGACTACTTCTCAAAAATTATTGTGGGTTATAGCTGATAAGCAACAGGTTTCAAGTGACAAACACAACAGAAGCTATTTTATACACAACAACCCCTTATTGATGTAGAACTAGGTGCTGTAAATCTTGCATAACAATTGTACATGGATATAGTTGGAAGTTCCCCAGTACACACCTGTGGGGTATAAATGCAGACTTCTGAAGTAAAAAAAGAAACCACAAGCATCCAAACAAGTGCAGTTAAAGCTGCATGGTTGTGAAATACTTGGGAAAAACTTGTATTGTTTCTGAAGAAACAACAGCATTGGATAAGACATGGAATGATACTTAGGAACGATAATGACAGTTCATCACTAGTGTTAACACAACTTCTTTTTAACCTGTATGTCATAGACAGCATACTGCTGAAGGGTTTTGGAGGGATTTGAAAGTCAGTTCTTTAAGAACTAATACATTTAGATTCTTAAATGACCTCCAGGATCATAACTTTATGCTATTATTTTTCCTGTCTCTGTTATATGATAAAGAGTTCTCACATTTTGGGATGGCATATAAGGGGTGGAAATCAAGTTCAACTGGTGTTTGTCTCTGCATTTGTACTAGACCGATCACACTTAAGTGGTTGTTGCAGCTGACACAGACTGGGATGTTTTATCACCAGAACACTTAGCATATCACTTGTCCACGCAATCATGGCAAATGCATCATGCAAAATGCCATTTTACTTTATTGTATAAACTTGGGGAGAAAAGGCAGCATTGAAGTCTGCAAAGCTCTTCATAACAGGTGAGGAAGCAAATAAATTGGTCATGAGAAAACTGAGAAAATTGCAGTGAGAAAATACAGTCTCACCATAGGAAACAATGGACTTATTAAAAATGTTAAAATTTACTGCAACTCGTTTAATGAGTGAGAGGAGTTAGAAAAGAACATAGGGAAAGCAGATATCCCCCTGGTGAGGTTTTGTGGAACGGGGCTATCATCATGGCTTTTTCCATGCTCACTCTGTGAGAGTGTAGATTGAGCACTATGTGAGTAATATCTTAGATTCTCAATTGATTTACCTAAGTAATCTAGTTCCTAACCACAAATACAAAATTCTGGAGATAATAGATATCATTCTGAC